ATTTCACTGAGTTTCTTGGAGTTCTTCTGTCATCAGATCAGCTTCAGGTTCCATTGGGAGCTCTTCAATGTTCTTTATTTTTCAGATGTGATTTTTGTTACTCCTTTAGCTGCTTGAGTCTTCTTGATTATACTGTATGTGTCTTAGAAAATAAGATTGAACTGCAACCTACAGTAGACCTGTTCAAGCCATACTGCCTAGCAACATTAGGCATCTTCTGCTCACTCTCTACCTTTGTTATTATACTCTCATCTTTTGAAAATAAAAACTGATGCAAAACTTAACAAGTATCATCCTGACAGTCTCACGAATACTATAAAAGAGTTGTTTCTCTCAGAAAAATAAAAGGCTGGAATTACAAGGGAGAGCTTAAAAGTTCAGAGGAATACTATCCAATCAGTAAATACCGGCTTGAGTGTCAATGTCGATGTCTCCTGTGCTCTGAAAAGTTTTGAATTGTTGCCTAAAGACAAGGAAAGATCAATCGGTATTCATTATTTTACGTCACTTCTTCTCATGTTTGTTCTGTGAGGTGTTCATTGTCTGAACATAAAAATCTTTTATGAAAGTGTTCGTTATCTGAACTGTTCGTTAACCAATCACTTGCTGTACTTAATTTTTATGATGGTGATGATGATACAAATACTATTTATACTAATATAGTAAAACTCTTTATCCCTGCAAAAGCTTTTTTGATACTTTGTATTTGTCATATAATGATTTATTCTAGTATTGATCTTAAAGAGAGTAATTTTTTTAAGTTAATAATTTCTAGTTTATTTTCAGAATTAAATAATTATATATTAACATCAGTCTTTATCATTACCATAGAGAAGTTTTTGTCTTATATACATTACATTACATTAAAAGAGTAGAGAGGTTGTCTGTGTGTGCACAGTCTTTACCTCTCAGAAATTAGAAGTGATGAAATTGAAATTAGAAGCGAAAGTGATAGTAAGTAGGGAGGGAAAGAAAATAGGGAAAGATTGAAGGGAAGTGTCGAATCATTGAGCATCTTCATTATAATTGTTGAACAAGTAAAAATACAATGACAAGACAAAATATGTTCAGTAAACAGTATATGACAAGTTTGTACGTGTGGGTGAGTGAGTACAGCAAAGGAGATACAAACACAATATTTTAACAATTACAAAGTACGTGATTTGTGACCTCTTTATATATATCTATATATAAAAATGGACATGTATGTCCCTATATTTCACTTTTCCGCCAAAACTACACATTGCACGTGAATGGTGTTTGTATGTGGTAGTAGCCCCANGTGTTGTATTATCATTAAAAGACAAATTAAAGTATTTGTTTCGATTATCCGGATTTTTCTTATCCGGACTACCTTCATCCCCAATTAGTCCGGATAATCGAGGTTCTACTGTATTTTTTATATTTGAGTTGAAGTTTCAAGATTTAGGATTTATTCTTATTGTAAAAAATTGCTTTTAAAGTTCTGTATTGTTTACTTTTTTAAATATAAATTGTTTTTCTTAAAGCAAATCCAAAGTTTGATTTATTTTTAGATTGTATTCAACGATAACTTTTCTTTTTTGATAATTCAAATAGATTCTAAGTGAATCTTATAGTTTATATCATTTCAAACCATAGAGTGCAAATATAGTTAAATAGACTTCAAATTTGAATTTCATGTATTTCAAAATGTTTAAGCATTTGTATATTAAATAAATTTATGATAGTTTGTCATTTAGTTTTAATTAATTTTAAGTCAGAATGCATTAATATAGACTTTAGTGATACATTGATCAGCTGATAATTAAGTTGACATATACTACCTGTATATGTCAACTTAATTAAAAGTTACTATAATTTGATATTGTATTTTCTAACAGTACAATGCAGTAGTTCTAAATTTAATATGTTATTAAGTGATAAGTTCAGCAAAAAGCCAAACTATCTTTTAATTAAAATTATTCTCATTCTTGTTTTTATTTTTTCTGATAGTGAGTTAATTCATAAGAACAATAAAATGTCCATTGATTTGGAATTTGTTTCTGTTAGAATATATAGATAATATATTCATTATGTATTTATTAGTAGCAGAAAATTTTGCAATTATATTTTAGAATTTTAATTCAAAAGATTAGCTTATTATAAAATAAGTATTAATACATTCCATTGATTTGGAAGTTGCTAATTCACTAAAGAATCAGAGACTTACAGAACTAAAATGATTCACAGATTTATAAAATTTATAAAGAACTGCTTTATTAGAAATTCTGTTGTAGCTTCTAATGTAGCTTCTAATAAAGAACTGCTTTAACAGATTTTTGTCCAATTATTACAACAGTTCTGTTGTAATAATTGTCCAATTTTTACAATTTTTGTCCAATTACAACAGACAAAAATTTTTGGTTATTATATCTTCATAAGGCTTTTAAAAAAAATTAAATTAACAACATTATTACAATAACATAAAATGGAGAAGAATATGAATAGGGATATATTTTGCTTATTTTCTCCATGTAAAATGATACAATTCTTCTCATTTAGTTTATTCTTTTTCTCCAGAGATCTTACGATGGTATAATCCCAGTTTGGCCAACTTTCATAAGAATGTGATTGTCAATACTTTTGACTCATGAAACTCAATTTATCATCATATTTTTATTCTTTTATATAAAGTTTATTAACCTACTCTTATAAAATTATGTTGAAAAAAATAGGTATGAAGGTCATTCTAAAAGTAAAGAATGTTTGTTTCTCTAGATATTTTTACTTAAGATAATGAAATAAAACTTATTTTACAACACATATGATCCTTAGCTATTTTTCTTCGTAATCGCCGCACAAATTTAAACATTTGTCATAGCATATCACCAGCTTTTCTATGCCTTCTGCACACTCAGTTACCACCAAGTTCTCAAACCAGTCATTAATGGCCTCTTTCAGTTCGTTGTCACTTCCATAGTGATTCCTGGCCAAAAAATCCTTCAATTTTGGGAAAAGTTGGTAATCACTCGGAGCCAAGGCTAGGCTATAAGGAGGATGTTCAAAAACTTGCCACTTAAACTGCTGAAGCAAGTTCTTTGTCAATGCAGCAGCATGCACATGTGCATTATCCTGAAGAAGCACAATGCCTCTGGGCAACAATCCCCACTGTTTGTTTCAAACTGAAGCTTTATTCATCACATTACCGTAAACCTTGGTTATCTGTCTGTAAATTTCAATAGGGCAGACTTTTTCTTGATTTAAAAAAGCATATTACACTATGAACCTTACATTTGGTGGGATCTTTAATTTTGTCACACATTTCAAAGTCACACTATAAACAGTAAACAATCATTGCAGCTCACTGTTAGTGACAAAAATGGCGAAAAAATGGGAAGATTCGTGACACAGCGGTGGGGTTGGTGGGAGAACTGCACAGCTTGTCAAATCAAAACGTTCTTTTCTTTTAGAATGACCCTTGTATATTTACTTATTGTACTGGTACATTAGTTGACACCTCAGATTCTCTGTTTTTTGTAAACATGGCATGAACATCGTTTAACATGTTTCAGTTTTTTTTCTTGTTTAGTATTTGTACATGGTCTTTCTGCTGCATCTATCAGAAACAAAGACAATTTTACTCATTATCTCATACTGTACAGTGATAGTTAAAAAATTTTAAGGTGGAAAATATGGAATTTATATTTGCTTTCAACAGACTATATTATCTGTGATTGACATAAAATAATAAAGCAATCAAATTGTTGGTCATGCTGGTATTATTAAAAATATATATGCAATTATTATGTTGTGATTTTAAATAAAGTAATTTTTATGAATAATGGAACTAAAATGTTCAGGAAATAAATGTTCTATCTGTTATAATATCAGTCTTTTGCTCATCAGTAAGAAGAGTTGTACTCTTAACTTCTGATTGGAATAACACTTGCAACCCAAGACAAATACCTCAATGCTGGTGGTCATTGCTTTTAACACATTGGTTTACTTTCATTTGACTTGCTAATATTTCCTGACAGTTTTATCAATGAAAAAAAGATCCAGCTAGGTTATGAATGAAATAATTATACCAAGTGAAATATAGGTATTTTCTATTAAGTTAGAAATAAAAGTAAAAAATAAAATAAATAAATTAAGATTGTTGATTAGAACTATAGTATGTATTGTGTCACACTGTCAAAAATAAAAGGAAAATAAAATGTGTGAGTATATTGAAGAACTGAGAGTCTAACCTGAAAGCACTTTGAACAATATAAAAAGACAGTGTTAACAGAGAAAGCTTTATATGAAAACATATTTATTTCATGGAAAGATAATAAATTTTTAATTTTTCTAGAAATAAACACCTGTTTTAATTAAATATTGCATATTTAAATTCATGTTTGAATCACAGTTCAACTCAAATGAAAACATTCTGTTCATGCAGCAACAATTTTAGGCTTATAATTTATTTTAAGATCTATTTCAAGTAATAAATTCAGTTTTATACATTTTATACAATATATTTATTTATTTATAGACAAACAGCTTTGAACAACTCTGCATTAATTATACTACATAATAATAGTATAATTAATGCAGAGTTGTTCAAAGCTGTTTGTCTATAAATAAATAAATATATTGTATAAAATGTATAAAACTGAATTTATTACTTGAAATAGATCTTAAAATAAATTATAAGCCTAAAATTGTTGCTGCATGAAAAGAATGTTTTCATTTGAGTTGAACTGTGATTCACTTTTTTTGAAATTGGGTATTGGTTTTCTAGTGTTTGAAATTCCTGAAAAACTGAAAATATTAAACTTATTGTATATAAACATTAAAAAAGCAAAAAACCAGTTTCTGCTTTTTTGTACCATGAAAACAAATAAAACAGGAACTGGTTGTGAGTTTTAGCTTTTAAGGATTTCAGGTTAATGTTAGATGACTATATTTTATAAAAGAAAAGCTAATCAAAATTTTGTAATGATATTTTTAAGTACAGTTTATATATTTTATACAATATATTTATTTATTTATAGACAAACAGCTTTGAACAACTCTGCATTAATTATACTAATGAAAAACTACATAAATTTTTTAACCATTATGTATTTGCTTTGGAACAAGAAATTGTAAGTTTTTTAAAGAATAACAATTATTATTACAGTAGAACGTCGTTTATCCGAATCAATTGGGGACTGGGGTTGTTTGGATAACTTATTTTTCGGATAACCGATTATGTACGAAAAGATATATTAACCTATCCTGTGTTGAAATTTTTCTCCATTGCATGTCGCTTTGCGTTGAATTTTCGTCAATGTTAAGCCTAACATAAACTTTTTAAAATAATAATCATGGCTATTGTATCGTTAAAAATTATTTCTTTATTTTGTACAAACAAAATAAATATATTGAAAAATATAAAAACAATAAAAAATTATACTTCAGATGTTAATTTAGTATCAAAAACGTAAAATATTTGAATAGCTCGAGAAATAGCCGAAGATTGCAGCGCCACAGCACTAGCGAAAATTTAAATTTGCCGACTGGAATGCTTTCGGATAACGGACGTTTCGGATAACCAGCTTTCGGATAAACGACGCTCTACTGTAT